GAAACTGTAGTTATGCAATAAGCAATAAGTCCGAGTTGTGCAGGATTGAATTTCAAAGATGAGAGATATTTAATAAATACGAACTTTTGCAATATTCTTTACTTTACTTAACTAACTTTTCTGGTTGAGAGCTCCAAGCTCGTCTCGTAGCTAAGTTATTTCCTTGCTTGAAAAGTTCTACAGTATGACACTGAACTAATCTCCATGTAGACCAACAATAACTAGACCAAGTTACAGGTCAGGTCTGTGGAGAGGTGACCCTGTTTACTGTAAGAATACATGTTTTTCAAGGTATTTTAAGGAATTAAAACACAACAAATAGAAGTTCAATGCAATACTGTGGAATATTCCAGGCAATGCAATTACATATCCGTGAGACAAGGTGGTGGTCCCTGCACTGGAAAAGTTACACAATGCACTTTTAAGTAAAGCTTTGTTGGACCTATGGTCATGAGCTTTGGGTAATGACTGAAAGGACAAGGTCACAGATACAAGCGGTCGAAATGAGTTTCCTCCACTGGATGGCTGGGTGCTCCCTTAGAGATAGGGTGAGGAGCTCAGTCACACGGGAGGAGCTCAAAGTAGAGCTGCTGCTTCTCCACGTCGAAAGAAGCCATCTGAGGTGGCTCGGGCATCTGTTCTGGGCATGTCCCACCGAGAGGAGGTCCAGGGGAAGACCCAGGACACGCTGGGGGGACTACGTCTCTCGGCTGGCCTGGGAATGTCTCAGGGTCCCACTGGAGGAGCTAAAGAAAGTCATGGAGTTCCTGCTTAGACTGCTGCCCGTTACCCGGCCCCTTATAAGTCGAAGAAAATGGATGGATGAACCAATTATTTGAATGATTTTAGGTGCATAGAGTTTAAAAACACAGTGGAGCACTTCCTGTATTACCACATGACATCACAAGGTGGTTTGAGAGAAGAACACGATTTAAATATGCAGAATTTGTGTGTTAAACATATGTGAATAAAACAAAACACCACACCAGGTCTGTTTGTGATGAGGAAACAACATTATAACATGCTGTAGATCAGAACATAGTCTGGTATGAGCCTTTTAAAAGATTAAAATAGTTTATTTCACATAAGATGTCTTATTTAAACTCTAAAGGCTGCTGTATAAAATGCATAAGAACTGAATTTCAATAAAACCTCCATTTAATCTTAATCTGTAATCTAATCTCTGAGGTGCCACAGCCAAGCATATGTTTTCACTCTTATCACTAAAGCTCCTCGGGGATATTACCTTGTCTGTCTCTCCTCCTCCAAAACCACTACAGCTAATTCAACAAACTCCACACCCTGATTCAATTTAACTCACCCCCAAAATCCAATCACAAATCAAACAGGCCTGTCCAAACCAAATGGACCATTACCCATGAGCACTAGGGGCGTCCAAACCAAAGCAGATGGACGGCGTTTCAGATTAAACTATATTCAACACCAGTAAATTCAACGTGAGGACGAAATATTCAGTGAAGCAAAGCTGAAAAAAGGTGGTTATATGAAGCGTGTGTCCTGCGGGAGAGCTCTCTTGTCTGTGCAATAACGGTGGATGAGCTCTTTTATTTTAATACTGTTATTGCTGAAAGAAAAAGATCACAGATTTGAAATGAAAACTGAAAAAGAGCATCTGTTTCAGTGTTAGAAAATCTACTTAAACATCCTATATTACACAAAATTGACTCTTGTGATCTTTTAGCCATTCACACATTTGAGTAATCTTGCATTATTTTTCTGTCTACATCTCCAAAGCTCAAAATGGTCTGTTCCACCTTGTGATGTCATGAAGTGGTAGTTTTCAAATTAACCCTGTACAAGCTCTCCCAGAACCTTAGATCCTCAGGCAGGTCCCTGTTTGCTGTTCCAAAGTCCAGGCTCCGGATGAAGAGTGATGGAGCCTTGGCTTTGGAACGACCTGCCTGAGGAGATAAGACTCGCACCATCAGGATCATGTTTTAAATCACTTCTTAAGACTAATTTTTATCAGCTGGCCTTCCTTTAACTGGTTTTAGCTTGATTTTATTCATTATTTACCTTTTATTCTATTTCTTTTTTATAATTTATTGGATTAATTGCATCATTGCCAGTTTTTGTTTGCCTTCTGTTTGCTATTTTTATGCTTTTTGTTTTGTTCTTTGCTGCTTCTACAGCACTTTGTAAACCTTGTTTTTTAAAAGTGCTTTATAAATAATAATAATAACAATAATAATAATAATAATCTTCTTCGTCTTCTTTGTCATCTTTGTCTTCTTCGTCATCTTCGTCATCTTCGTCTTCATCATCATCATCTTCGTCATCGTCTTCTTCGTCATCTTCATCTTTGTGTTCTTCTTCATCTTCGTCATCATCTTCGTCTTCGTCTTCTTCATCGTCGTCGTCTTCTTCATCAACATCGTCATCATCATCTTATTATTATCTCTGTATTTAAATATTTATTATTATTTGTATTTATTTATTTATTTTTGCAGAGATTGTCAATTCCAGGTCTGAAGTCATCCCAGTGATTCTAGTGAAGGTGTATGGACGCACTTCCTGTATTATCACATGACATCACAAGGTGGAATGTTTTCAGTTTGAGAGAAGAACTCATCCTTAAATCTGCAAGTTTGTCTGTTAAACGTGTGAATGAAACAAAACACAACTCCAGGTGTGTTTGTGATGAGGAACCAATATTATTACACAGATCAGAGAATAGTGTAATATAGGCCCTTTTAAAGCAGCGGTGATATTTGTCTTGAGTTTCTTTCTTGTGCTGTTACAGTGCGGCGGCAGGTTTGGCAGGACGTGGTGTGACGTGTCAAACACATTTATGGAGATTTATGGAAACCAATATGTTTTTCAATAAAGGTTTTCATCTGCTCCTGACATCTCCCAGGGATAAGCCCAGACTGATGGCATCTTATCATCCTGGGCCAAACATAAGGCTCTATCTCGCAGTGGTTAAGACATAGTTGCCAAAACAGGTGTGTCTTTTAATTCAGGGGGAGTTACAGGTCAGATCTGTGGAGAGCGTAGACTCTAGGACACATGTGTCAAACATAAGGCCCGGGGGCCAGATCTGGCCCTCCAAGACCTTTAATGTGGCCCTTGGGTGATTTTCTACTAAAATATTTTAATTATATTTTCTATTAAAATATTTGTAATTTTCTGCGGTGCTTAGCATAGCAGCATCTCCAGCCTCTGTACGTGGCCCCTCCCACCAGAGCAGCACAAATGAAGACTTGTCTCTTTCCAAACGCTCTTAAAGGACGATCGTTTTGACTGTTGACCGTGACACCCTCATCAACAAAATGTCCAATGTCCAAGTGGACGCTGAGCGCAGGATTTTCCAAGAAAAATTTACTTATTCCTATTTGCATACAAGTTCATGTTACAACATTGTGTTGAAATTGAATTTTTCTTAAAGTTTCAGGTTGTTCATAATATTATAATATAATAAGAAAGAGTTCATCAATAAAAAAAAGATTTCTGTAATAGATTTGCGTTTCTCTGCACAAATATTTGAACTTATTGTTATTTTTGGGGTTTATATGTCATGAGTTTTCTGATCCGGCCCCTTTGGGATCAAACTAGGTTGGATACGGCCCCTGGACCAAAATTAGTTTGACACCCCTGCTCTAGGATATATAAATGGTTCCAAATAGGAAATGACGATGGGAGTGCTTCTGGTTCCACTAACTTTGGCTCCATTTGACTTTACACTGAAAAGTTGTCACCCGTCTCTCTGTAACTGCTGCTGTGAGCCTTGTCATTTAGGTCTTAAAATGTTCATATTAACCCGCTCTACATGATCCAAGTGTTTTTATTTCGCTATTTTGTTCATAAATAAATTTCTATTCATTAATACGGAACTGGCTCCAAATTTACTCCTATAAATTTTAGCCTCGATGAGCTTCATTTGACAGGACCCAAATGTCGCACCCTCTTAGTCCACTTCTTTATATGGTCAGCAATAAGATCTCCACAAAGACAAGCAGATAGCTGACCCTCCAGAAAAGCTGCACAGTTAATTTTTAAGGTTAAGGTTATGTTGCCCCAGTGGCTTTGAAGGATGGGAACAAATGTACTTGCAGATTAATCACAGTGAGAAAAATACAGAGCGCGAGAATGATTTAAAGACATGTTCTTACATTGAGAGACAATAAGATAATAAACTACATCAGAGGTCACCAAACCTTTTTCTCTGGGGACTACATTATCGCTCCTGACTGTGTTGGGGGCCGAGGTCGGGTCGGCCGTATAACAGAATTATATGACCCTGATGACGCAGATTAAATTCTTGAAAAAAACTGCCACACTTTCTTTACATATCAGACAAACTGCACGGTCCTTACACTGAACAAAAAAATAATTGGTCATCCACTGTTCTTTAAAAACTGCAGTCTCTGTCAACTTTTCATACTTTAACACTCGTCATTTTGCTGTCCTTAACTGCACTACAGAACTCTGTACTCTCATTTGGTGGCAAATGTAAATACATCATATAATAATTTAAATATAAATATAAATACTTCATATAAATATAAAAAAAATAAGCCATGACAACTTTTGAGGATTGCCTCATAGGGCCAGTTCAAGTGGTGGGGGGCAGAGGGGCTGAAAGGCCAAAGGGGCGTGGAGAGCCGGGGCCTTAGTTTGATGATCCCTGATGTAAATTCTGTAGGCTACAGAAACAGGTTAGTGTATAGGATAAATGTTGATGATTTTTAAAGTTTTTTTTTTTTTTTTTTTTTCTTAAGTGTAGCAAGTGAAATAGAGTTCTCTCAAAATAACTGCTGTACTGAACTCACGAGTACTGTTATTATTATTGTTGTATATATAAATATATTTTTTCTCTGTGCTGTCCAAGTCATGTTGACAGTCATACTCTTGGCATCATCATTTGTAAATTAGGATGATTTCACTTCAGCCTAAACCCGTTTGGTCGTAGTTTTATGTGAAATGTTTGTGACAGTCTATAAAGTACATGACTCAAGAAAATAAACTACTAATACTACTATTAATCACAGTGAGAGATTTATTTGTATACAGTCTCATGGAAACACATCGTTACGGACAGTTTTCAGTTTTCAACAAAGCAACAACACTCAGAAGATCAATTCATTTACTCCAGATAATGTCCTTTGGTCCATAAAGTAAATAATATCTAAAAGTCTTACCTGTTTAAAGGGCCTGAACCCAGTTTTAAACCGTGGATCTTTGAGCTGTTGCCTCTTTTCTCACTGGTCTGATACAGTTACAAGCATTTGTCTCTACATGGTTTTCATCCACCGATATGTAGCTGGTTCTGTATAATTATCATTCCACAAAATTTCACATAATCTGAATGTTTCCATGGAATACACATACAGTATATATACAAGTTTAAATGAGCACTATATAACTTTTCTGATAGGGGGTCCACGGTCCTGTTTTTCTCGTCTATATCCTTAGAGAAAAGCACCACCAAGCTAAGCCAGGTCAGATCTGTGGAGAGGCCACAGTAAAAATGCATTTTATTTCATTTATTTAGTTTATCAAGGTGTTTTTGTGTACTATAATCACAATAAATGAATGAAACAAATGCAAAAAACTGCTTGTAGCCATACTGCTGAACTTTCCAGACACAGAAATATATTATTAATTACTAATTATATAGTACACCTTCAATGTGGAACTTTCCAGACAGGGAAACAACATATACTCCTGGGATCCTTGTTAATTTTATTATTATTTTTTATTTCTAATTTGTAACATGTCCTCTGTAATGGACGCCAGGGACATTTTGGTGTTAAATCCATTTGACGTAGACAACCTAACAATAACAACTTTTCTGATGACCAACATCTCTGACAAGCTTCTACAGTCGCCTCAAAAGTTTTTATATTCCCTTTTCATTTTTTTTATGTATTATTTATTTATTTTTTTTTATCATAGTGCAGCAGCAAACTAACTCTTATTGAGTAGGGTGACTAGACGTCCCTATTTGTCTGGGACAGTCCAAGTTTTGAGCTCTGTGTCCCCTGTCACACCAGATTTATACAAAACCAGTGATTCATCCCAGGTTTACACAAGAAATGTCCCAGCTGTCCCTATTTTTGACCAGTTTCATAGCTGCCAACAGTACAGACAGGCATAAATTGTCATTTGTTTACTAGACTAGCGCCTCCACTCAACTTCATATCTCTCCAGCGACTAGGTCAGGAATCAGAATACACTAGATGGTTTGCAAGAACCCCAGAAGTGCAAGTCTGGACACCAGCCAATCAGCAAAGAGACATATATTCTGTGTTGGCAACGATTCCCGAGATCGAGGATTCAAGGCCGGAACAAAGAGAATGTTTGGTGAATTTTATCAAGGGGAAAGACGTTATTGCCCTTCTTCCTATAAGATTTGGGAAAAGCTTAATATATCAGTTAGCCCTGTGGTGCATTAGACACGTCACGACCAAATAGCAACGATTGGTTAAATTAAAAAAAAATAAATTATAAAAAAAAATCTCCTACCGTCGAGAGATCAAATCCTAATACTGCACGGAGTGAAACTGGCTGATGAATCAGGCTAGTAAAATACAGTAAAGCTGCTTAAAAATGACCAAAACACAAAGAAAACATGACTACACTGACACATGTTAGTCATGAATGGGCCAATTGCAGAACAATTCTCCTTAATTACGCACAACCAATTTTTTATTTTGAAAATCTGGTCACCCTACTATTCATTTTTTAATACTGGACATAATAGTACCCTATAATCTCTAGCCCTATTTAAGCAGAGGAATCTAGTCCCCCCATTAAGAGTTTATCTCAAAACACTTAAAAGATAGACTGGTTAAGTCAATGTCCACTATAATGGACACAAAAGAATGGGCTGGGTCTCAGAAGGATATTGAAGGTTGGTGTACCCCTCACCAGAAAAGTTGCATAGTGCATCTTTAATGATTGTGAAACATCTCCATGGAGACAAGAAAATTGCGAGTGTGCTCCTTTAAAATCTAAATGTTATTAACCTTGAGCACATGGAGGTTGCTGGAGGTGAGTATGTACAGTCTCTCGTTGGTGGCTCTGAATCCCAGGATGGGCCGGTCCGAGTCCAGACTTGACACCTGCTGTTTGGCCACCTGCCCCACCTGCCGCCCCTGCCGCCTGTTGAAAAGCACAGTCTCCACTGGGGCGGGCTGTCGGTAGATGAAGGCTCTGCGCAGGCATTCACACAGAGAGGCGTACGAGAAGTTTGGAGCACAGGTGGCAAATTTCTTATCCCGTTTGGACGCCTGGACGTAGCCTTGAAGAAGAAGAGAGAGATGATTTGAGATCAGCTGATGAGGCTAATTAAGAGAACTGGCAACTTATATTAAGAATGCTTAAACCTCTCCAAAGGAACACAGCAGACTAGCACAGTGGAGAGTTTTTAATTATAGTTAATTCAGTTTGAACATACAGTCAAGTGTAAACAGACAGTTTAAGAGAAACCGATGTCGTTAAAGCATGACACTGAAGTCTGTGATGATTACACTTAAGCGAAAAAGTGTCCTCGTTGTAACTTAATACTGTCTGAGTGAGGGTTGTCAAAGGTTTTTCTCTGTGGAGATGTTATTGCTTTGTCTGGAATATTTCACAGTATGGCATTAAACCTTTCTATCATGGAGACCAAACCAGACCAAGTTACAGATCAGATCTGTGGAGAGTCAACCCTGCTTAAGGCTGTGTAATTAACTGAATTTTGATCGCAATTTTGATTTGTGTGTCAAACGATCTCCAAACTCATATAAACGAGTTGAAATGATAAAGATTCACAAAGTTTATTTTGGGATATTTTTAAAAATAAAAATAAGTATATTTATTTTCTTTTTTAAATATAGAGGTTTTAGAACAGCTGGATATATAGTTTATTTTGGATATATTTATGTTTAAATGTATATTTAATTTATTTTATGTTAAATACATTGAAAAACTGCTCTAAGGTTCATATTTTTAGCCTATATTTATTTGTTAAGTTTTCTATAAATGATCAATAACAAACAGCTTTTTTTGAGAGAGCGAAATGCTGAATAAATGTGTAACTAAAAATAATTGTTTGAATAATCAAGGCTTCAATACTAACCAAAATAATCGCGATAATCGAGCAGCCCTAACCCCGCTCACAGTCAGAATGCCTGTTTTCTAGGTATTTTTGAGCTATAAAACCACCTGTAATTTAATAAATTTGAGGTGGAGATGTTTAATGACATCAGCAGTGACATAAACAAGCAGGTGACCCCCAAACAAAAGGTTACATAGTGCACCTTTAATGTACACAATGCTGTACATGACTTTTAAAACCAACATTTCATAACATTAGTAGATAAGTAATTATAATATGAATACATTTATTTATGAAGAAAAGATACCCAAGGTCACTTTACAAAGCAGCATAAAAACACAATTTAAGTGGCATTGAATTCTCTTTTGTTTTCCCCTCAACTGTATTAAAGCAATTTAAGGCTCTGTTCGAACCAAGTTAAAGTTAAAGAACAAAAACCCCTCTTACTTTCTTGACCAGTCTCATGCCGTCATCCACAAAAAGCACCTTCAACTTAAGGGTCAAAGAAAATGAAAAAGTTAAATGTTAAAACAGCCTGAATAAATCTGTTTGACTTCTCAAAACCGAGCCCAGGTCCCACTGAGGTAATTTAGTGAGTGTGATGAAGTCTGTGCTCTCTCAGACGGAGCAGCAGCAGATGGACCAAAAGCTTTGAGTTAAAAAAGAGAAAAGAAAATGTCAGAACAGTTATGGAGGAGATGGAGGAGAGACAGGAGCAGAGGTGGGTAAATGTCTTTTCAGAGCCACTATATGTAATCATATTAACAGATAAGTGACACTGGAGTCCTGGTTTAACCTTCAGCTGTACCAAGGCAATTTATATACAGGCTCTTTCACACCGTCACCTGCCCAGTTCAGTTTCTCTCAAAAGTGCGGCTCCTCATTACTTACTTATTAATTCTCTAAGATAAATTAGCCGAGTCTTGCTAAAATAAATCCATATTTAAAAGTTAGGATGCAGACAGCAGGTTACAGATGGATAATCACAGACAGCGTGTTAAGACCTTCACTACGATGTAAATACTTCACTGAACCGTGTTTAGAAAAATAACAAACTGACTATAATTATCCAAGCGAAAGCTGCTGTCTGCGTCCTGATATTTAAATATTGATTTATTTTAGCAAGGCTCGGCTAATTTATCTGAGAAAATGAATAAGCGAGGACAGCAGCTGGAAAAGGGCGCCGCTGGGCATCGATTCAGAGCACCGTTACATGTTTTCACGTAAAAAATGTAAATGTATGGAGAAGGGTCTTTAAAATCATTGTTGTGCAATTGTAATCTATATACAGTACTGTGCTTATGTAACAGATAATACTCCCTACAACTATACAACAACTCACCCTTATGTAACAGATAACCCTATGTCCTGTCAATAACCATATCATTGTTGCACTGTCTTCCTATGACCTCTTGTATAAAGCTGTGATTTTTATATTTTATTATCCTTCAATTTTTTATAGTTTATATTTATTACTTATTTTTCTATTTTATTTTTACTTGCACATTTACAATTATGTCTTATTTGACACCTGTCTCTTGCTATTTAGAATTATTTTACCATTTATATTTTTGCCCTTTGTTGTTATATTTACTGTGATGTGTGAGCTACTGTGTCCAAATAATTTCCCTTGTGGATCAATAAAGTTTGTAAGTCTAAGTCTAAGCCTTTTCCTCAAGTGTTGAAAATGAGTTTCAAATTTTAGATCACAAAAAATCTGGGGAATATGGATAAACCTGATTAACAAATAAAAGTTTAGAATAACAGAGGCCCTTGAAAGGTGCACTGTGTAACTTTTCTGGTGGAGGGTCTGCTACTACTTGTCTCCACAGAGATGTTATTGCTTTGCCTGGAATGTTCCATGGTATGACATTAAACACATCCATCTAGCATTTAATTAGTATGAGTTTCTATTATTCAAAAATGCAAATCCTTCTGTGAATAGGGGCAAGTCTCCACAGATGTAAACTGTAGTGTAGTGCTGTAACCTGCTTGTCTGCCTCGTGATAGATCGGTTTAATCTATACTGTGGAACAAGCAATAACATTTCCATGGAGACAAGCAGGTGACAGACTCTCTAATACAAATGTAGAGACTGTAAACTGTCTTACCAAGTGCGTTGAAAGTGGCCACGTGCTCCCACATGTGTTCAGGCTGTTCAGGGCGCGGCTGCCAAACCAGAGCGTCCACGTCGTGTCTGAGGCAGAGGCAGGGCATCTGGGTCGGGTCGGACTGCACCGTGAACAGGTACTGGTGACTCCCCAAATTAACCTGTGGAAAAAAAAGTGTATTTACAATCTACAGTATGATGCAGGATGGTCAAGGGATTTAATAGCAGAAGCATACACTGTATATGTAAATGGACATAGCGAGTGAGTGAGCATGAGGGCATCAACTCTGGCTCCATTTGACTTAAGATTGAAAAATTGTTGCCCCTCTCTCTGTAACTGCTGCAGTGATCCTCATTATTTTGGTCTTGAAATGTTTGTATTACCCCAGTCTACATGATCCTGGTGTTTTTATTTTGGTATTTTGTTCTGCTAGGATTGTGAGCTTCATTTGACTGGTGCCAAAATCTGTGGGTGACCTCACACTCCCTTAACCTTGGTATCCACTACACGATTTCTTTCATCTTATTTGACTGGATATCACACAACACAACAAGAGGAATTAAAATAGTACAACATCACATAGCCACACTGTGTGATGGTGCACACGATCAGTCATAGTTAAAATGAAAATTTCTCTGAGCGAATATCAAGGTCGCGCTCCGTGTGGTAGCGTCTCGGTTAGCTGAGGGTTGCCTTCCGTTACATAAAATGCCTAATCGTTCCATAATTGGAAAGTAAACCTGTGTTTTTTTAGCCTGATTCATCAGATGGTTTCACTTTCTGGAAACTGTCTGACCTTGCAGCATTAGGATTCATTCGCTCGACGGTAGGCAGGTACTTTTTTATTTAACTAATCGCTGCTATTTGGTCGTGACGTATGTAATGCGCCGCTAACGGGGCTAACTGGTATATTAAGCTTTTCCCAAATCCCGTAGGAAGAAGAACAATAATGTCTTTCCCATTGATAAAATTCACCAAACATTCTCTTTGTTCCAGCTTTAAATCCTCGATCTCAGGAATCGTAGCCAACACAGAATGTATGGCTCTTCGCTGATTGGCCGGAGCCCGAACTCGCACTTCCAGGGTTCTTGCAAACCGTCTAGTGTATTCCGATTCCTGACCTATTCACTGGCTAGTGGTTTTTGTGATGTTAATGAAATTTCCTAGTTTAATGAATGATATTTCTGAATGAATACAAAACTTCTCTGAACGTTGCTGCCAAGAGAGCAGCTCCAAGCACAAAATATCCCTCTCCCAGAGGTGTCAATCAAAACGCAGATGTGACCAAGCATTACCAACACGTTGCTCCCTGGGTCTGCTATAATAGTGTTAAGTAATAAAGCTTTTAGTATATATGTAACCGTGTAAGAAAGATTTGAAAAAAATAAACAGTTATTATTTAAAACTGTGCAATTAGTTCTTCACAAAACATAACTATGCCTAACTATGATTAAAATGCATTATAATAAAATAAATGTGAGTGACATAAGCACAAAAGGCCCAATGCAGGACATGATAAAATCCTGTTACGGTTCATTGCCATCGCCTAATGAAATCTTGATAATCTAACCTCCAAAACAGCTATTGCAGTACATCTATTTCTGAGTTTGGCAGTACACTGAAGGCCCCTCTCGTCACATGTACTTCACTCTGCTGCCTGGTCTGTCTTATAAAACCTATGGGCAAAAAAGTGTAAGAGAAATATAAATATAGCTAAAATCCAGTCACAGTGTCCAGGGCAAAGACTGTAGAAAGAACTATATCATTTACATATATATTGAACTTTGGATGATACTTTGATAGTTGGTAGGAACTTGTCGGTTTATGATGAAGGAAGTGACTGAAAGTTTTAATCTGACGCCAACTTTGTAAACAGAATATGATCGATGAGGTAATTAAACATTATACATCTCATCTGTACAAACACTTAATCTCCCTGATTTATAAATTATACCCTGTTAATTTAATATAAAACAAGTTAAACTTTCTTTAGATCAATCTAGCTCCAGTTTTCATAACACTGTGAAATACTCTGGACTCTGGGCTGATTACACAGAAGCTATTTTTGTTTTCTGACACAACACCTTTGTTTTTCTGTTGATTCAGTTCAGGCTCTTTTAGCTCGGACAGTGTCAGGTACAAACTCTGAAGTGTGAACAACAGAAATACTTTTCAAACAGAGAAATCCAAGACAACAAGACAATATCAGGGTGACTGCCACCATGTATATGAAATTCCTGGCATTGTAATTGATCCTGAAGCTAAGACAGGGGCGTCAAATAGGGGTCCCTTCATTCAATCTGTAATGTGCATTTTTCATTAGACATTCATTAGTATTTTCTGATCCAGGATCCACAATTTTGGGGTACACCCATGAAAAATTGTCACTGAAGTCCAGGCTTTGTCGATCCATCCAGTGACTTCCAGGAATGTTGCACGGTGCACCCTCCCGGGTATCGCAAGTTTCTCGCTCACTCCAAACTTTATTTCTGCTGCTTGATTACCGTTTTCGCCTGCATGTTTCACTACCTGCATCTTGTAATCTGCAAAATATGATTTTCTTTTTGGGGGCACTTGTGTCCAGTCTTCTCAGTTCTCTTTATAAGTTTGTTTAAATTAAAATTTTCAGTGGTACAAGAGTAATAGGAGTAGCAGATACTGACACACAGCCTAGAGCGCCCTCTTGCAGCTGTCAGTGAGAAAATTTTTATATATAAATCGCAACAGAGTATAAGTTGCAGGACCCCCCAAACCATGAAAAAAGTGCAATTTATATAAGTTGCAGGACTACTCAAACCATATAAATGTGACTTATAGTCCAAAAAATATGGTAGTTCTTAAATGGTTAAATCTTTTATACCAAACTTTAACCTCCAAAAAAACCAAGCAAAAAAAAAAAGTTGTGATTTAGTTAAACGGCCAAAACTAAAACTAATAAAACCATAGCACCCTTTTAGGTAATGTTTTGCGAGTTAAACTGAAATTGAAGTGCTGACCATCGTTTCTAGTAACGAACTTGCCTTGAGTATTGAGTTTGGATAGTAGAATCAATTTTAACAATGCTGATGGAAGCCCAACGGGGACAAAATAAACTGTCCTTTCAGCAAAAAGTCAAAAGCTCTGGAGTCTAAACCCCGTGTGTCTGTGGCTGTTCATTTGAAGCCATTACCTCCATCTGAAGACGTAGGAGGATTTCTCAAACTGTCATCGATCTTCACCTCTCCTCCCTCTAAATCTCCCCTCCACCTCTCCTCCTTTCCACCTCTACATCTCCTCCCTCTTCTCTCCGCTTCACCTCTCCTCCCTCTTCTCTCCATCGAGGACTCTGCTTTGCCCCCTCTGTTTCTGATTATATCACAATGTCAGCCTTTAACAGCTCATCCCTCCCTACACTCCTCTCTACCTCTCCACCTCTTCTCCACTCCACCTCTCCTCTTCTCCTCCCTCTTCTCTCCATCTTCATCTCCATCTCCACATTTCTGATGGTTTCACGGTGACAGCCTTTAAAAGCTCATCCCTCCCTACACTCCAAACCCCATTTACTGACACTGCACTTGATTCAGACCTCAGGATAACGACTGCAGGGGAGAGATGGAGAGACACAAGTGAGAAATACATTCAGGACTATAAAACTAAATGGGACACCCAAGCACTGGGTTTTAAATGACAACACTCTGTCATTATTAAAGTGCCCATATTTTCTGATTTATGTTATAATATTCATCATCACAAACAGACCTGGAGTTGTGTTTTGTGTCATTCACACATTTAACGCACAAACTCTGTGTATTTTGTCTGGGTTCTTCTCTCAAACAGACTCCACCTTGTGATATCATGTGGTAATACAAGTGCTCCACTGTGTTTTTAAACTCTATACACGTTCACTAGAATCATTTGGTTAATTTCAGCTCTCCTGAAAGATAAAAGAAAACTACCACTACCTGATATCACAAGGTATAACAGAGCATTTTGAGCTTTGGAGATGTAGACAGTAAGGGTGGGTATCAATAAGAAGTTGCTGATACGATACATACCTTGATACATAGGCCACGATACGATGCATAGCTCGATACAGTGCACTTTCAATATGATATATTTCAGATAGATTTGATACGGTTCAATAAAAAATAAAGACTCAATTGTGGCTGTGATACTAAAAGTCTATGTTAAACCACTTCTTGTGCAAAGTTCATATGAAACACAAACATTTAATCATCAAAACTGTGAAAATGTCAAACATGTCACATAAACAAGTTTTCTTCCTCTAAAGCAACAAAAAAAGCAACAAAACTGTAGCGCTGTAACAAAATAATTTAGTAAAATATACCAAAAAATACTCTTGGCGATATATTGATACAGCAGCCCACAATATCAATACTGTATCATCACATCAAATTTTTGCACACCCCTAGTAGACAGACTAATAATACAGGATTATTCAAAAATATGTGAATGAAACAAAACACAACTCTGGATATATTTTTGAGGAGGTCACATACAGTATATGATGGCTTAAATCTCACAAGAATCAATTTTGTGTAATATAGGACCTTTAAAAGCTTAATTTTCCATAAGGTGTGAAGTACCCAGGCTTATTTACTCTAAAATATGAGCTACAACACTTTCCTTTTGTGTGGTCATAATATTATGGCTAATGCGTGTGAACCTCCTGACACTGTTTTTCAAAAGAGGCCAGTGAAGTGGATTTTTCATTACAGCTGAAAGCAGGCGTCCATTGATCTTGTTTATTAGTTTCTCTGCACCAACGAAACAAGAATGAATCAAAGTTTGGACATAAAATATGTTTCAGAATGCTGACGATTTATTGACGCCAAGCTGTACAATCCCGAAACACAAAAACCTTAAGAAAATATTCTACTTCTCAATGCCTTTTCACTGTCTGTTGTGTAATCTTTGTAACTAGACACTGACCTTGAGGAAAAAATGCTTTGCAAAAAAAATGCTGCAAATGTGCACAAAGCTAAAAGACTTCATTCACTAATCACCAAACAAAATAATAATTAAACTCAAAATAAGAAGTAATTTTAGAACAATTGGAAATGTACAATTAGTAGTATGCTTTAAAATCACCCCTACAAGCAAAACAAAGATTCAAATTATGTTGTTCTCTCATCAAAAACATGCCCAAAGAGGATTTAT